TAGTGCTTCTCTCATCTGCCATAGCTGGAAGTAGTCACCCACTGGCAGGATAGCCTGGGAACCCTGGGACTGATGCCATCTTTAAAAGGCTGTTGTGCAACTAGTCAAGTGCTGTCAAACTGACACTGCCCTGCAATGGTTTGTGACATTTACCCCAGACATGGCATGTGAGTGGAAATTGGTGCCCCATGTTGCAGATAGGGGCCTGGAGTTCCTATTGGATGGGGTGATGCACAGGAGGGAAATCCTCTTTCCACAGGACTAGCAGAGGAGTCCATACCACCAAACCCTGCCAGCATAGTCTGAGTTTCTACCTAGGTCAGTGCAGGCTCTGCTGTCTGAAGGAAATCCAACAGTGCATGAAGAAGGTCAATGACCTTCTCAGCTGTGCCAGGGTAAGTATCTTCATTTTCTTGGTGTTATCCTACCCTCACTTCATCTCTGCTATGCCACCTCCCACTAAGGCACATGCTCTACTAAATTCACTTATGCACAGAACATCTTCCCTCACTCATTGTTATCCATCAAATTCCCTCAAACCACTAACCCTGTAAGCTTTCTGTGCTACCTACTCGCTAACTCAGGAAACCTCACCACCTTTCCCTCGCCTGCACAAGCACTGACAGCTGCGCCACCCACTTTCATCCCCTCAATCCTTCCCCTTTTCTCATTCCAGGGCAAAACGGGCCACTGCTAGCCAGAAAAAGCCAAGGCAGGTGGTGGCGTGCCTGATATTCAGCTTCTCACTCCTACAAAGAGGACCAGAAAGGAGTTGGAAAGTGCAACTTTCTCTCAATGTTGAGAAAGGTTTTGCTCAACTTCTTTCACCATTGTCCCAAAGCATTCCCCATTTTTCCTACTGATTATGATGATACTATGGCTTTAAGAGGTATATTTTCTCCTGTTTATTTTTGCGAAGAGAGGTTGAGACAGAGGTACTGAGCAGTCTGCTCCAAGCCAATAAAGTAAACAGTTTGAGAGGCCTTTTTTTTGAAAGAGTTGGAAAAATAGAAGCAGTATGAATGGGTGGAGTCAGGCTCCCATGGAATCAGGGTTTTAGCTTAGCTTTCAGAAGTTGCTGGGGTCTTGAAGCTGGATGTGGAAGCTGTTATTCATCTCTACGTTACAGCTAAAAGATGGAGTTCTCTCTGCTACGAGAATTGCATGTGAGATAATCTATTTTACTGAATTTGCCTTTGCCAAGTGTGTATTTACTATATTGGAACAGTTGGTGTTTAGTACTTAAATAATTATTATTCTGTAAAGTTTTCCAATAGTATTGTTATTCCAATTCTTCTTTCCTTTATTTGTATTTTAACCATAGTGTAAGAATTAGCATGTTTTGCTAAAAGCTGAGCTGCATAACCAATCGACTTACATCTGGAACACAGCACCTTACACTTGCCTTTAAATAAGAAACAAGTTAGGGTCTAGGCTATCTCCTTAATATATTTGAGGGTATGGTCTGTGAATGTGGAGGGGTGATTTGGTCTGGTCCATAACAGATTAAAAATAGGATCAGTCAGAAATGTGAGCGGGATTTTCATATCTGTGTCTGGCCACCATTTTGAAGAACCACCCAGGTCATTTCCCTCCAATGATACTGCCTGACCTGCTTTTATTTCAGATTTTCAGGATCCACAGCATTTTGCTTTTGTTAGAGTTGTGCATTTGCTGCAAGGAAATCACAAAATATTAACATTAAGAATCTTTAGTTACTTGCATTAAAATGCTTGGCTTACAAGCAAATAGTTATCTTACGACTGGCGAAGATTCACACGCGACTTCGAGCCTTGAGCATACCTGAGAGTACCAGTCCAATACATGTCAACAGGTAAAGTATTAAACTAGTCAGACTATTACTAACAGAGTCAAAATAATAGGGAGCTCATAATTCAAGCAAAATAGAGGTTTTCTTTGATTAGAGATTAGTGTTCTCAATCTAGAAACTCATTGTTCATGGAGATAGTCATTAATTGGTCATTAAGAAATGAGCATGATTAAAAATTCAAACACCACAGATCCAAGTACGAGCTGTACACTCATTAAGCAAGTGATAATAAATACAGGGAGCTGCAGCAGGTCTTCCCAGCTTGTCAGCTTCACTGAGGAAGCTCTCCCTGCTGTGTGCTTACCTCTGTGAACCTGGTGGGTAACTGACAGGTTGGGAAACAGATGCCCTGGCTGTTTTTAAAAGAAGGAACTGAGGGTTAAAATACTACTTAATTAGCTATTTGAATATTTTAATTACTTAACTGACAGCTGCACATGGGTTGCCTTGAATTCTGCCCTTATGAAGTCCAGAGCTCCAAAATTAGTAGCAACTTTCCCTTCAACCATTTACATAGGTCAGATTTCCAATCCAGTAAGTGGTGGCATAGAGTAGGAGGAAGTAAGGTTCTAATCAGAAAACCCAGAAAGTCTGCATTTTCTCAAAGCTGTGGTGTTTTAGCTTTAACAATAACAAGGGTTGTTTTCCCATTTAATTTAGAAAATTTGCAAGTTGTTCAATGAATCATAAATTTATACCACAGAAGATGCAAGCCACCCTGTCGATGTGACCAAAAACAAAACAGCCTTATCCTATTTTCTACCTCCTATGCCACAACCCTCTAGGTAAAAAAAGTTTCTGTCTCTACTACCCTCTCAGGCAAATATCAACCTTATGCGCTGAATCATTCAGTTTCTTTAGAACCCTTGTCCTTGACGTTTCTGCAAAGGGAAATGGTCCTTTCATTCCACTTCAACTAAACCCCTCAATTTTTTTCTGAAATTCCTCGAGGATGTAACTAGTAGAGTTGATCACAGGGAGTCAGTGGATGTGGTTATTTGTCGAAAACATTCAGAGATAAGAGATTAATGTGTAAACTAAATGTAGGATTAGGGATTGTGTATTGAGATGGATTGAAAATTGGCTAGTAGACATAAAACAAAGAGTAGGAATAAATGGGTCTTTTTTGATTCGCTAGCAGTGACAAGTGGGGATCGGTAGCAGGACCTCAGCAATTCACAATATATGTTAATGATTTTTGTTGAGAGAAACTAAGTGTAACATCTCAAAACTTGCAGAAGACACAAAGCTGGGTGGAAAAGTTAGTTGTGAGGAGAATGCAGAGATATGGTAGTATGATTTGGACAGTCTGAGTGACCGGGCAAAAAAAGAAAGAACTGGGGATTCTGGAAATCTGAAACAAAAACAGAAATTGCTGGAGAACCTCAGCAGATCTGGCAGCATTTATGAACAGAAAGCAAAATTAACATTTCTGTTCCAGTGACCCTTCTTCAGATGCAGCATAATGTGGACAAATATGAGGTTATCCACTTTGGTAGCAAAAATCGGAAGGCAGATTATTATTTGAGTAGCTGTAAATTGAGAGAGGGGCATGTTCAATGAGACCTTGGTGTCCTGTGTACCAGTTGCTGAATTAGAAGTGGCAGATGGAATTCAACCCAGAAAAGTGTGAAGCGATTTATTTTAGAAGGTCAAATTTGAATGCAGAATACAGGGTTAATGGCAGGATTCTCAGCAGTGTGGAGGAACAGAGGGATCTTGGGGTCCACGTCCATAGATCCCTCAAAGTTGCTACCCAAGTTGATAGGGTTGTAAAGTTGGTGTATGGTGTATTGGCTTTCATTGGCAGGGTAATTGAGTTTAAGAGCTGTGAGGTTATGCTGCAGCTCTATAAAGCCCTGGTTACACCACACTTGGAATATTGTGTTCAGTTCTGATCGCCTCATTATAGGAAGGATGTGGAAGCTTTAGATAGGGTGCAGAGGAGATTAACCAGGATGCTGCCTGGACTGGAGGGCAGGTCTTATGAGGAAAGGTTGAGGGACCTAGGGCTTTTATCATTGGAGTGAAGAAGGATGAGAGGTAACTTGATAGAGGTTTACAAGATGATGAGAGGCATAGATACAGTGGATAGCCAGAGACATTTTCCCAGGGTGGAAATAACTATTACAAGCGGGCATAATTTTAAGGTGATTGGAGGAAGGTATGGGGAGATGTCAGAGGTAGGTTCTTTACACAGAGAGTGGTGGGCGTGTGGAATGCGCTGCCGGCAGTGGTAGTGGGGTCAGATACTTTAGAGACTTTTAAGCGTCTCTTGGATAGGCACATGGAGGATACTAAAATGTAGGGTATGCAGAGTAGTTTGATCTTAGCAGGATAATAGGTCAGCACAACATTGTGGGCCGAAGGGCCTGTGTTGTGCTGTACTGTTCTATGTTCTATATTCTATGTAAGTGTGTAGGTGTAGCAGGCAGTGAAGGCGGTAAGTTGTACAATGACCTTCACAGCAAGAGGATTCGAGTACAGGAACAAAGTTGTCTTGCTGCAATTGTACAGGACACTGGTGAGGTCACACCTGGAATAGTGTGTCCAGTTTTGGTCTCTTAATCTGAGGAAGGATGTTCTTAAAATAGAGAGAGTGCAGCAAATGTTTATCAAATTGATTCCTGCGATGGCAGGACAGATGTATCAAGAGAGATTGATTCCATTAGGACTGTATTCACAAGAAGTTAGAAGAATGAGGGAGAATCTCATAGAAACCTATAAAATTCTAACAGGAAGAGATAGATCAGGTGTGGGAAGGATGTTCCTAATGGTTGGGGAGTCCAGAACCAGGGTCAAAGTTTTACAGGTAAACCATTTAGGTTTGAGGTGATGAGAAATTTCTTTACCCAGAGAGTGTTGATCCTGTGGAATTCACTCAAAGTGGGTGAGGCCAAAACGTTGTGTTTTAAAAATGAGGGAGATATAACTCTTGTGGCTAAAGGGATCATGGGATATGGGGAGAGGGTGGGATTAGGGTATTGAGCTCAAATGATCAGCTATGACCGTACCGAATTGCGGAGCAAACTTTAAGGGCTGAATGGCCTACTCCTATATTTTTCTTACCAGAAGTAGGTGCTTTAGGTCTTTTTAACATGTCAACACATAGGATTATCCATCTTGGAAATGAAATGCAATTACCCAAAAAATAAAAGACACTGAAAGATACATATAAATAGAGATTTACTTAAACATCATAAAAGCAGTAAAAATTCAGATACTACATTAGCAAAAGAATAAATCTGAAAGCACGTGACAAATGTTTGCATTTCTTGTGGCATAAATAACCTATTCTTTTTATGATTTGCGAATTGGGGATAATGGTGGGGGGAGGTGGGGGGGGAGGCGGGGGCTGTTCTCCCAAAGTGTAGTTGCCGGTAATGAATGCTTGATGGCAATTATGGAAAGAATGTTAAAATTTCAAGATATTAAGCCATTAAAAAATCTTTAGGCACAAAAAAGCCATATATTGTTCCTGGCATAATGTGTTCAGATAGTTGAGGTAATAAATACAGATCAGGGGCACATGCAAGAAGGATTCAACAGTGAGATGAAAATCCATCAACTCTCTCATTTGTTCTTTGCAGCCAGAGGCTTCCGGCTTATCTTCTTGGACTTGTCATTGCTTTTCTTTGGAGGTTCAGGGTTCGCTTGCATGTGCCTGCCATAAAGGCTGTAAGAAAACAGAAAGATTGTAAAATTAGCAAAATTAATAAAAACAAAAAGAAAGCAATCCTTTTACAGACAACTGGAGAAATAGAATAGCAATTTGCAGCACTCTAAGCTTCATGCCTAACCAGAAAGCCCTTGGGATCAATACAGTGACAGAGAGAAATAGTAGCAGAGGCCTCCCAGGCTATTTCACCATGATTGACGGCGTCAGGAAAGTTACACAGCCATCAGTGCCACATTAATAAATACTGCCGATTAAATGTTGACAAAATATCCTGTAATTTAGGAGGCTGGACAGCTACAGCACACAAATGATTATTTAACTCATATTTAGCTAGCAATTAAGAATTTAGACTCTTTACTTGTTCCAATTACAAATACTCAATGCTAAATAAGCAGCTGCTGAAAGAACTTTGAGAACCATCAAATAATATTAAAAACAGGCCACAAAGACAAAAATGTTGGCAATACTTAGCAGTTCTGGCAGGCTCTGTGCTGGCTTGTGGGCTTTAATTAAATCTGACGGAGGATTACATGCGGCGGAATCTCGCATGGGGTCAGTACCTCATGTTGTCTGCATTGCCAGGTCTCATCTCGACTTTGGCACTTGAGGTAGGGTGGCTAGCAGGTCAGTGACTTGTATGCGTGTTGGCAAGATAATCAAGGGTGTGAATTGAGTGCCCTAGACTGGACTGGGGCAGACTGCCCCAGTCAGAAGGAGACCCACCAGCACTGCGTAACTGGCAGACCAATTGTCAAAGACGGGAGCTGCTCATAGAGGCAAGAGCGCGAGAAACACTCTCTGTGAAGTTTTAATTTTTAAGAAAAAACCCACTTAACATCATCATCATCATGTGGGCATAACCATTTAATTGGGTGTCCAGTAGTTGCAGCTATGGCCCATGGTTATAGAAGATAAAAAGATGCATTCCCTAGCCAGGTGGAGAAATGTGAATTGTCCATCTGGGTCTGCCACGAATACTGATTGGAAAATGCAAGTCTGCATCTGCACAGTAACCTTGGTCGACCATTTATTTGGCATAATGGACTACCTGCTACTTGCGGGTGGGTAGTCAGACCCTCCGACCCTCCCAACACGAAAAGCTCCTTAAGGCAGAGCCAAGGTGAGTGACTCGGAAGCTGGTTGATAGTACGCGTTTGTCGGCTCATAAACCTCAGGGGTTAGGAGAAAATTTGGTTTGTTAACTCCATTTCTCCACTTTCAAATGCTGGCAGACCTGCTGAGCATTTTGGGCATTATCTGTTTCTATTTCAGACTTTCAGCATCTGTAGTATATTACTTTTGCGGTACTGTTTGACAAATATACGTGTGTAGCAAAGAGAATCTGCAGTGTTAGGTCAGGTAAAAACAGTTACATTATCCTGATTTACACAGGTTAAATTACTTATATATGTTGAAATTTAGATTCTGGGTCCCCAGGTATTTTATGCAGTTGTTTCATTATCATCTCCAATTAATTTTTTTATAAAATTGTTATATTTAGTTTTAGTAATTCAATAGCTGCATCATCTTAAAACAGATTTAAAAATGTTTACCCATTCAACTTCTTACCATATTTTGTATCATTGGTAACTATACAAATGTTTAAATCAATTTACGGCGTGCATAATATTTTTACAGATCTACAGCATAGTGCAAAAATTGCAGTCGAGTTATGTTAATTTTATTCAGAATGAAAACACTGCTGCTTACTTATGTGACCAGGCTAAGAAGATTGGTGAGATGGTGGTTGGAATGAACAATCTTAAAAGATAATCAATTGAAAAGATGCTCGTTAAATTTTCAGTCTACTAACAACAATGTACCAACTTAATAAAACAGGCGGAAATAATAGCAAGGATATTAGCCGAGACCTTTGGTGATGTATCAGAGGTCTAAGCTGTCATTGTATTGTACACAGTTCAGCAGGCAGTGTCTCAGGGGATTGAAAGAATACACCAGCGTTAATAAATTCAGGAGGAATCAATAGATGCAGCTTATTTCGACTCTCTTAAGTCTCACATTTTAAAAACTTTTAATTAAATCACATGCCGTTTAGGAGAATATTATGTTCATTAAAACAGTAATTAACAATCCAATGAATTTATAATATGTCACTAACCATAAAATCTTGACAAATGCATAGGAAAAAAAAACAAATAGGATTTCAATTCTTTATATAATTGTTTCAAAACCAGTTCTAAATTGGAGTAGATTTTGCCATAAATAAAACTGTAATCAAATTATTCAAACTAAAAATGAAATAAACCACATTTATTAAAATTGCCAAATCCCTCAACAAAATTTGCGAGCTCTGCACTGGATTGAAGGATCATTGTGGTGAAAGATCAAATAGCATCACACACAGGAATTAGCTGGAAATGACCCACATTGACAGGCACAAACAACTGAACAATGACAAATTTATTTTATGCATTCATGGAATGAGTGTTTCACAGGCTAGGCCAGCATTTATTGCCTATCCCTAACTGCCCAGATTAGATAATCTGGAGAAACTGGAAATTCAGTTTACTCACCAGATTTATCAAGTGAGCAGATGAGGCCCCACAAATCAGGAAGGCTCCAGGTTTGGCTTTATCTGTGCTGAGTTGCTTGATCTCAGGTCAACTGATAGCAGGTGGTAGAGGTGCTACAATCATTCTGAGTGTCCTTTGGTTAGGGACAGAAGGACCTCAACTAGGCACAGCATTCTTGTTTCTAATTATTACTAACTGCAGAAGTGCTTGCAACGTTGTCTCCTAATGTTGGAGTCATCAATTGAATTTCAGCCTTTTTCTTCATTATGAATACTGCTCACAGACAAATACTGGGAGGTTAGTCAGCAATGATACGAAACCCTAGCAAAATTAAATATCTCTGCACAATCTACCTGACGCACTGTAATAACTCATTGAATCTCCTTCGACAGCATCTATCAACTGTCTACTAGCCAGAAGGAAAATGGCAGCAGATATATGGGAACACCACAACCTGCAAATTCCAATCCAAACCACATATTATCGTCGGAGATAGTAGGAACTGCAGATGCTGGAGAATCTGAGATAACAAGGTGTAGAGCTGGATGAACACAGCAGGCCAAGCAGCATCATAGGAGCAGGAAGGCTGACGTTTTGGGCCTAGACCCTTCTTCAGAAATGGGGGAAGGGAAGGGGGTTCTGAAATAAATAGGGAGAGAGGGGGAGGCGGATAGAAGATGGATAGAGGAGAAGATAGGTGGAGAGGAAACAGACAGGTCAAAGAGGCGGGGATGGAGCCAGTAAAGGTGAGTGTAGGTGGGGAGTTAGGGAGGAGATAGGTCAGTCCAGGGAGGACGGACAGGTCAAGGGGGCGGGATGAGGTTAGTAGGTAGGAGATGGGGGTGCGCCTTGAGGTGGGAGGAAGAACAGGTTCAGGAGGCGGGAATGAGCTGGTCTGGTTTTGGGATGCGGTGGGGGAGGGGAGATTTTGAAGCTTATGAAATCCACATTGATTCCATTGGGCTGCAGGGTTCCCAAGCGGAATATGAGTTGCTGTTCCTGCAACCTTCGGGTGGCATCGGTGTGGCACTGCAGGAGGCCCAGGATGGACATGTCGTCTGAGGAATGGGAGGGGGAGTTGAAATGGTTCGCGACTGGGAGGTGCAGTTGTTTATTGCGAACCGAACGTAGGTGTTCTGCAAAGCGGTCCCCAAGCCTCCGCTTGGTTTCTCCAATGTAGAGGAGGCCACAACGGGAACAGCGGATGCAGTATACCACATTAGCAGATGTGCAGGTGAACATCTGCTTGATGTGGAAAGTCTTCTTGGGGCCTGGGATGGGGGTGAGGGAGGAGGTGTGGAGGCAGGTGTAGCACTTCCTGCGGTTGCAGGGAAAAGTGCCAGGTGTGGTGGGGCTGGAGGGGAGTGTGGAGCAGACAAGGGAGTCACGGAGAGAGTGGTCCCTCCGGAAAGCAGATAAGGGTGGGGAGGGAAAAATGTCTTTGGTGGTGGGGTCGGATTGCAGATGGCGGAAGTGTCGGAGGATGATGCGTTGGATCCGGAAGTTGGTGGGGTGGTACGTGAGGACGAGGGAGATTCTTTTTTGGTTCTTATTACGGGGACGGAGTGTGAGGGATGAGATGCGGGAAATGTGGGAGACACGATGGAGGGTGTTCTCGACCACTGAGGGGGGGAAGTTGCAGTCCTTGAAAAACGAGGACATCTGAGATGTACAGGAGTGGAATGCCTCATCCTGGGAGCAGATGTGGCGGAGGCGGAGGAATTGGGAATAGCGGGTGGCATTTTTGCAGGAAGGTGGGTGGGAGGAGGTGTATTCTAGGTAGCTGTGGGAGTCGGTGGGCTTGAAATGGATATCGGTTTCTAGGTGGTTGCCCGAGATGGAGACAGAGAGGTCCAGGAAGGTGAGAGAGCTGTTAGAGATGGTCCAGGTGAACTTAAGGTGGGGGTGGAAGGTGTTGGTGAAGTGGATGAACTGTTCGAGCTCCTCGTGGCTGCACGAGGCGGCGCCAATACAGTCATCAATGTAACGGAGGAAGAGGTGGGGTTTAGGGCCAGTGTAGGTACGGAAGAGGGATTGTTCCACGTAACCTACAAAGAAGCAGGCATAGCTTGGGCCCATGCGGGTACCCATGGCCACCCCTCCCATTCCTCCCACTTCCTACAGACAAAGGGGGTGGCCACTGGCACCCGCATGGGCCCAAGCTATGCCTGCCTCTTTGTAGGTTATGTGGAACAATCCCTCTCACCTCCGGATCCAACGCACCATCCTCTGACACTTGCGCCATCTGCAATCCGACCCCACCACCAAAGACATTTTTCCCTCACCACCCTTATATGCTTTCCGGAGTCTCTCCGTGACTCCCTTGTCCGCTCCACACTCCTCTCCAGCCCCACTGCACCCGGCACTTTTCCCTGCAACCGCAGGAAGTGCTACACCTGCCCCCACACCTCCATCCTCACCCCCATCCCAGGCCCCAAGAAGACTTTCCACATCAAGCAGATG